TCTTAAAATCCACAGTAAGTATCGTTGACAAATGAGGACGACAGGCGCGTACAAACGCAGGAAATTTTGATATCCAGCCGATACGGCGACTCCGTGATCAAACCGAAGGCATTTCTGAAAAAGAAATAATTAAACAGCTTGTGAAGGTTTTTTTTTAAGTGGAGACTAACCTCATGGTCCATTATCCTCAGATAAGTTTGACGGATATCTTTCGCGAAAAACGGTGCAGTCCCGTAGGCCATCTCATACAACATGGCACCAAGGCTCCACCAGTCTGTTTCTCGGCCATATTGACTCGAGCCGTCATCAAGAACACGACGAGAGTCGTCGTCCTCCATCTCAAGGGCCACCAGGGCCTCCTCGTGCGCCTGCAGAATTTCTGGGGAGATGTAGTCACAGGTACCACATGGGACAAGGCAATAGCGTTCCGGCAACAACTGAACGCCATCAGAATCTGGAGGTAGAAGCGGCGCTGCCGTTCCAAAGTCAATCAAAAGGACACGAGCGTCAGGTGACAGTACAAAATTATGTGGCTTGATGTCGCTGCAACGTATGAGCTAAATCTACAACAGTCGCGCTTGGTCTCACCGATGAACGAATCCCTGCGAGTGACACCAGTGTATGGCACTGATAAGTTGAGGAGTCCACCACATGAGATCGCCTTCCAAAACCTTGCCGTCGTGAGGGCTCGATTCAAGGACATCCCAAAGGTTCCCGCCCTCGGCATAGTCCATCACAAGGTTGAGATGTGTTGGCGTTTGGAAGGCACACAAAAGATGTGGTGCCCATTGTGAATCGGTCTTCTGCGCTTGGAGAAGAATATCCCTTTCGATTTGAGGCGAACATTGCTGAACCAAGAAAAAATGAGGGGACAGTCTAAAACATATAATTGGAACCTACATCGCGTGTTCGAAGTGCAAAATTTTTCTCGATTGATTTCCGTACATAAACGCGACCGTCGAGACGACATGTAACAACATAGATCTGTAGAAGATGATGAGCCATACAACCCTCGAAGTCTAGTGGAATATACCAACCACACCGAATTGACCATACTCTAATGTCCCAACAACAGATAAATCCTTATCTTGGAAGCGTATCGCGTCGATTTCCGTCGTCTTTGCTAGAAATTTGTTAGTTTAATGCAAGCGTTGATGAACTAAAACACTCACAGGTCTTGCCAATTACACTTTGTCCGTGCAAGATGCGATCGAGAGCTAGCCCTTCTGCGTCCTCATCTCCCTGACTCTTTAGAAGCGAACCCAAACGTGTTTTGCGTTGGACCCATGAGAGAGACATGCATCAGGTGGTGTCCGTCCTGTCACAGGTTAATTTGACTCTAGAAGTCCTAAGCCCCAAGAATATATACAGTTGAAGCGAGCGATGAGAATACAAAGAATTGAATCAAAGTGAGCAGATTGCAGGCCAAGGTAAGATGTGGCCGACGAGGGCAAGAGGGACCTTGTTTGTCTCTGTGATCAACGACGTCGAGCACATCGTTTCTCCAACTTGTCTCTTGCTTCGGTGCACACCCTTCTCACACAACGAGTAGACCTCTGTTTCTGAAGAAACTTGGAACGTGAAAGGCTCGTCAAGGATGGCCTCCAATAAACCCAACAAACTGGCATTTCTGTCTATGCCCGCACCTGCATCATATGTTGCAGGTCTCGGTCGTGGGTGAGTACCTATTCATGTTTTCTTCACTCGTATTTAGCTCTAAATGAATTTTTCTCAGCGCCTCCGGTTTCACCACTCGGTCCGACATTGGTCCAGCTCGAGAGGGCCCTTCAGCTGAGGTTATCGCGTTCGTTTATTTCACCCATTATCTCGTACTTTCCTATAGACTTCTATTTTGATCTAGGGAGGCACAAGCAAAGCGTGGAGAAGAGGCGGAAGTGGACCCAGACCAATTCCAGGACCCAGATAATGAGTACGGACTCTTTGCTGGAACTACATATGAGCAAGATGACGAAGAGGCGGACAAGATATATGATTCAGTCGACCAGGCGATGGACGCGCGGCGCAGGGCTAGAAGGTGTGTTCTGGTTAGTCTTCCGACTTTCGTTCACCGTTCCACTGACTGGTGCTATTTTCTTGGCTCTTATTAGAGAGGCTCAGGAGCAACTCGAGCTCGCTAAGCACCGCGCCGAACGTCCCAAAATCCAGCAACAATTCGCTGATCTCAAACGCGGGCTTTCCGCGGTCACGGATGACGAATGGGAGAATATCCCAGAAGTTGGTAACCTTACAAGGAAAAAGAGACGTAGGGACGAAAGGACATTTGCTGTGCCAGATAGTATCATTGTGGGCGATAGGAGTAAGAACGAGTATGAAAATTCGCTTGACACGAGACAGCAAGAGGTACGAGGTAGCCTTTTCTAATGCTCCCCATCCTCAACCTGATTCTTTTAGAACGGAGGATTCGAGACGCCGGCCGATTCAGGCACACTTACGAATTTCGTAGAAATGGGACAGGCCCGAGACAGGATTCTATCGCTTAAACTGGACCAGATCTCAAATACTACGACAGCATCCTCCGGCACGTCCACCTCTGTCGATCCTAAGGGATACCTTACTTCGCTCGACAGCGTTATCATCAAGTCAGATGCCGAAATAGGGGATATCAAACGCGCGCGAATGCTCTTCGACTCCCTTGTCAAGTCAAATCCCAAACACGGTCCTGGTTGGATCGCTGCGGCATGTCTTGAAGAACACGCGGGTCGTATGGTTGCGGCGAGGAAGCTTATCAAGGCTGGTTGCGAGCAATGTCCCAAGAGTGAGGATGTCTGGTTAGAGGCTGCCCGACTACACGTGCGTGGTTTTCGTTTCTCCAGCAATTCTGATATTAATATTACATATATATCATAGAACAACGAAGACGCTAAGATTATCCTTGCAAATGCGGTGCAACATATCGGGCAAAGTGTGAAGATTTGGATGACGGCATCTGACCTGGAACACGATGTGAAGGCTAAGAAACGTGTTTTGCGAAAAGGTCGAGTTAGCTTTTTTGCGTCTGAGACTCGCCACTGAACGATGTCTTGTAGCCCTCGAACACATCCCCAACTCTGTACGCCTCTGGAAGGAAACCGTTAACCTCGAGTCTTCCATCACCGACGCCCGTGTTCTTCTGTCGCGCGCCGTCGAAGTCATCCCATTATCTGTTGAGCTCTGGCTTGCCCTCGCGCGACTAGAAACACCAGAAAAGGCCAAAGCTGTCCTCAACAAAGCCAGGAAGGCTGTACCAACAAGTCACGAAATTTGGATAGCAGCCGGAAGGTTACTAGAACAGCAGGCTGATGTCGTTCCTGAAGGAGCGCCACCGAAAACAGAAGAAGAGCGGAACAAGGCACTTGAGGTGGTAGACAAGACCATCGAGGCTGGTGTGCGCGAGCTGCGCCGTCACCAGGTTCTGTTGACCCGGGAGCAATGGCTGAAAGAAGCAGAGAGGTGCGAGGCAGAGGGCTCACCGAGAACATGCGAGGCGATTGTCAAGGCCACGGTGGCGATGGACATTGAGGAGGAGGACAGGCTGGACACATGGGTAGGGGATGTAGAGAGTGCCGAATCGAGAGGCAGGGTGGGCACAGCAAGGGCGGTACTCGCGTATGCGCTCAAGGTCTTCCCAGACAAGAAGGACATGTGGCGGAGGGCCGCAGACCTGGAGAAAGCGCATGGAACGAGGTTCGTTATATTTTTCGATCATCTCATGTTCGCACCTAACTTGGCTGCAAAATAGAGAAAGTCTCGATGCTATCCTCAGCACAGCAGTGGTATATTGTCCCCAGTCAGAGACGCTATGGCTTATGGCCGCAAAGGAGAAGTGGCTTGCAGGCGATGTTCCCGCTGCACGAGAAGTTCTGGAACGGGCATTCGTGGCTAATCCCGAGAGTGAACAGATCTGGCTTGCCGCCGTCAAACTTGAGGCGGAGAACGGCGAGCTAGGCGTTGCGAGAGAACTGCTGGTCCGTGCACGGACAGTTGCCGATACTGAGCGTGTTAGTGCTACCTGTTCTTGCCACCTTACCCCTACTGATTTACCATCTACACCCAGATTTGGATGAAGTCCGCCGTATTCGAACGACAGCAAGGACAGATAGAGATGGCGTTGGAGACCGTTTCTACAGCCCTCGTCAAATTCCCCAAGTTTGCCAAGCTTTACATGATCCAAGGCCAGATCCACCAGTCACAGAAGAACTACGCCGCAGCGCGTGCGTCCTTTGCCGCTGGGTATAAGGCATGCCCAAAGGAAACAACCCTCTGGATCCTCGCGAGTAGGCTTGAGGAAGCGGACGGAAAGAGTATCAAGGCCCGCGCACTGCTGGAAAAGGCGCGTCTAGTAAACCCAGCGTCGGATGTGCTCTGGGCCGAGGCTGTGAGCGTCGAAGAGCGCTCAGGTGGTGCGGTACAAGCGAAGGCGATGCTCGCGCGCGGCCTGCAGGATTGTCCCGCATCTGGAGTCCTCTGGTCGATGGCAATTTGGGCGGAGGCGCGTCCGATGAGGAAGGCAAGGAGTGTGGACGCCTTGAAGAAGTCAAAGTACGACCCGGTCATTTTGTGCACGGTTGCGCGGCTATTCTGGGCGGAGAGGAAGATAGAGAAAGCCAGGCAGTGGTTTGAGAGGGCTGTCACTACTGACCCAGATCTGGGCGACTCCTGGGCTTGGTGGCTGAAGTTTGAGCGGCAGCATGGGACTGAAGTATGCTTTCCTTCCGTTCTTATCCTCGAGTTATTCTCACCAATTTTCTTCAGGAGCACCGAGAGATTGTGAGATCTCGCTGCGTGACCGCAGAACCCCACCATTCGCCGATATGGCAGTCTGTCGCGAAAGATGTCGGCAATAGGGGAAAGTCTATCAAGGAGATTTTGGAAATAGTTGCAGATACCTTGCAGTAATAGACTTGTTAGTTGGAGTATTTATGAATGAATTTGAATGTATCCATGTATAATGACAATTGTTATTGAGGGCAGGGAAGTATTCAGCTTTAGACGTTCCTCAGACACCGATGGTGAAGCGGTTATCATGCTTGCCTTCCATTAGTTGATCCCGGGTGATATAAGCAAGCGGCAGGGGTTCGACTCCCCTTCGGTGTATATATTCTCTTGGCAATTATATGTTTTGGTCCAGGTAGGATTTGCCATTTTCCATAGGCGCAAATTGAAAAATGGTGCGACCAGTTTTGTGCGCCACATTATTTGGCTATGTTGGGCAATGACATTGACGTGCCGGACGATACGTCAGACGCAATTTTGCTCCGATCATCACACGCAGCGATCATGAAATCCGTGCAGTCCTGTCCTTGACGCCTGTCCTCCCATCTCGAGCTCTAACCTTGGCCTAGTCTCTCCGAGCGAGACTCGCTGGAACACACTCGTTTCCTCCATCCAACTCACGCATGCTAACCTTTCAAGCATTGCATCGCAGTACCCGGTTTAATATACCACGAGCGGGGCGTCGTCTATTATCCGGTCAACCTCTCCACAACTCCCGACCCTCAAATCTCACGAAATATGCTAAAAGGACTGCATACACAGCAGCTGGACTCGGCACCTTATGGATGCTAGATAGGACATACAACGCTTCAGCAGTGTTCCGAAATTTGCGGACCCTCTGGACAGTGCGTATTTTCACCTTTCCGACATGAGATCATGCTGAATGGGCTGTAGTGTGCCGCAATCACATTAGATTATAAACTAAACTTCACTCCAGAGAAGAGTAAACTTATACCAGAACTTCACGAGCGCGTCGCGGAGAGGATGTATAACTTATTCACGGCTAATGGAGGACTTTACATTAAAATCGGGTTCGTTTCAAATCAAACCTACCACTACCATTTTGCGTCCTAAAATTTTGTGCAGACAAGCTATTGGAGCTAATGCAGCATTGCTACCGAAACCCATGCAAGTCAAGTTTGCGAAACTCTTTGACGATGCACCCCAAATTCCATATTCCACGGTAGAGGAAGTGTTCAAATCCGAGCTCGGACGGCCGCCGTCTGGGCCCGGAGGCGTTTTCGAGATCTTTGAAGAGCAGGCAGTGGCCAGCGCGAGCATCGCTCAAGTCCACAAGGCCAAGCTATGGCCTGCACCAGGAGACACGGAGGATAAATGGGTGGCGGTAAAGGTTCAGAAACCGGATGTTGCTAAGCAGATGGAATGGGACCTCGGCGCTTATCGTGCCGTCATGTGGATGTTTGAGCACTGGGCCTTTGACTTGCCTGTTTATTTCGTTGTCGGTGCGTCGAGTCCTGTCGCTTCTCAAGCTATCTCCAGCTGATTTACGCCCAGATTTTGTATCGGACCACCTGCGCGAGGAGCTCGACTTTGTCAACGAGGCCAACAACGCACGGAGGACAGCCGCGTTCGTCGAGAATGAGCCGCGCTTGGCGGACAGTGTTTACATCCCAAAAGTGTATTCGGAATTCTCGACGAAGAAGGTGATGACTGCAGAGTGGATCGAGGGTGTCCGGCTGAGCGACCGGTCAGCAATACGCGCGCTCATGGGCGAATCCGACGGCACTACTCCTGCCCATCCCTCGCCTCTAAAGGGGGGTGTCAAGGGCGTCATGCAGGTCATGGTCGAGCTGTTCAGCGCGCAGATGTTCAACTGGGGCTGGGTCCATTGCGATCCGCACCCCGGGAACGTCATCATCCGGCCCCACCCCAAGAAACCCACCAAACCGCAGCTGGTGCTGATCGACCACGGCCTCTATGTCGAGGTCGAAGAACGCCTTCGGAGACAATGGGTTGAGCTGTGGAGGGGCATGCTGAGAGCCGACTTTGATGCAGTCGAGAAGGTCACGACGCAGTGGGGCATGGGTATCCCGGACCTGGTAGCGAGTGCGACGCTGATGAAGCCCGTGAAGCTCGGGAGGAAAGAGACGAAGGAAATGCAGGAGCAGAGCCGCAAGAGAAGAGAACAGTGGGAGGAGATGTCGCAGTACGAGAAGAGCGTCATGATGAAGAAGCGACTCAGGGAATTCCTGGCTGACACAGACCGCATGCCGAAGGCTCTGATATTCTTGACGCGGAATATGAGGTTCGCCCCAATTTTCTCCTCCCCCCAACCTCCAACTGACAAGTTAACCTTACCACAGGATGGTACAGGGTTCGTTACCACTCCAATAACCGCTTCCTTTACACTAACATCTTATTTCTCATAGGAAACAACCAGTCGCTCGGCTCTCCGGTGAACAGGATCAAAATCACCGGTTTCTGGGCGTCCCGCTCTCTCTCGCAAAGACCTAACCTATCCATCACCCAGCGTCTCCGCGAGTATTGGCACCATCTAATCTTCCGCGCGGTCATGCTCTCCCTCGACATTGTCTTCTGGAAGAACAAGGCCGCTCTTTGGGTTCGCAAGCGCCTCGGACTGCGCCCGGGTGTTGGCTTTGAGGACGAGCTCGAGAGCTCGATGCGCGGTTTCGCGAAGTCGAACTTGGGTGTGGATGTTGCGCCGGGGGCCTTCGAAGGATAAGTCGACGGTGCTGTGGACTTACAAATAGCTGGATATCAGGCTCATTTGGCTACGTCCTATCGGGTTGAAAGTCCGAGTTGGCTGTAATAAATCCCCACTAATAAAAGATTTCCAGCTCTGGAGAAATTATCACCTGGTCTATGATACTACTACATAATTCAAGTCAAGTATCCCTACAATAAAAATACCTAGCTGATGCCTCCGCTGGATTGCGCTCGATTAATTTTACCACCAAGTCAAGTCATCCAATAGCGAGAGAAATGAGAACTTGACGTCGGACGCGGTCGTCTTGAGCCTGTTTCTTCTAATCCCCTACGAAATTTTCGCTCGTCCAATCACAGGAAAGCGAGGTAGCCTGGAATGCTGGCTTGAGGCGCAACATCGCATCGCGGTACTCGTTTTCACGGGGGAAATCATTCACCAACTGATCGCCCGCAAGGATACTCTGGTATTTATCGTTCATCGTTTTCGGGATGACGCTGAATGTTACGATTTATTTTTCGAATCTTATCTTATCTACACGTGACTAGTAATTACGCGTACATACATGCATATCCCTCATGCCGCAGTAGTATAGTAGTATATAAGTAGCTTGTATTCGTAGTAGATCCTCAGCTTCGAGCTGGTTAATACCACCCTCTACCTTCACCTCCTAGTGTGGTCGGAACAGCCCTGGTCGCTGCCGGCACTTGTGAGCTCTGAGATTTGAGTCGCCTAACATAAGCTCGAAGC